AGCTCAACAAAACCTGCCACAGCCTTCTAGTTTTTTTACAAGATGTCAAAAGCACACATTGGAGAAAAACAGCTTTTTTGACTAACAGTGTGGTAGGACCCAATATCCCCAGGTAGAAAACTAGAGTTAGATATGAAAGAAAGAGAGGGAGGGAGGGAGGGAGAGATTAGGAAGAATGAAAGAAAGAAAGGAAGAAAGAAAGAAACTACGTCCATGTTTCTCAAACTGTACAGAAAAAGCAGTTCAAATTGGAACAAAGACTTTAATGAAATACCTGAGACTCTGAACTGCTTTAGGGAAAGAGGTAAAATACTTCAATGTAAATAAGCATAAGCAAGGACTTTCTGAAAAAGACTCAAGAGCTCAGAAAATTATACCAAGAATGAATAGGATTGCATGAAACAAGAAAGCTTCTTGTTCACTTATTTCTGAATTCAGGTAATAACGTGAAATTTTTTTTTGAGATGGCCAATATTTTCAAATTTTAAAAGGAAGCAAAAGTTTTCAGTGGTTGCTATAACTCAAAACCCATCCACAGATCTTGGTTATGAAGTACAAATGTAAAGATTGTGTATACATAAGAAGTCTTTTTTAAATTGTTTGAGGATGCTCTTGCTGGGGCAATAACAGAGAAAAATGTTAGATATGCTAGGAATGAATTTGGTAATCATCTCCACTAATGCCTCATTCCACAGATAAAGAAAATGAAATGATGAGAGAAAAAAATCTAGGACATTATTTCTACTTTAGTGTTTATTCCATTGGTCAACTGTCTCATTCCTCTTCCTCCCAACACCCCACAACAACAGAAGATGTTTCAAAAGTATTCTTATTCCCATCATGGTGCTCACAAATACTGACACATAATTCTTCCTTAGTCATTCCCGCAAGAAGTGGCTACTCATTTTGTTTCACTTCCTTCTTAGGACTTATGAATCAAATATGAATAATTTAATTCTAACTGGTTGAGCAAAGACATAATGAAGCTCACAGTTTTAATCAGCATGGGCAAAGTCTGATGAGACACAGCTTTTAAGCTTCAAGTATGAACTGACCTTCCTCTTTGCTGATAACTTAGGTACCACATCACTAATTACTTTGATCAGAGATCTGAATGCCTATTGAGAAACTCATTTGTCAAAATGTCAGTTCGTGGCCTGGTAGTGGGGGCACACGCCTTTAATCTCATCACTCAGAAGACAGAGAGGCAGATCTCTGAGTTCGAGGCCAGCCTGGTCTACAGAGTGAGTTCCAGGACAGCCATTGATACACAGAGAAACCCTGACTCAAAAACAAAGACCCCCAAAAGAAATTAAACAGGAATAATACCTAGGACATCTCATGCTCCTCGTTTGACATTGGCTAACTCATCTTTGACACAGGGATAATATTTTTGTCTTAAAAAGAAATAACTGTGACAGGTCTTTTTTTTTTAAATAATAAAACATACGAGAATGAGAAGGGAAGAAGAGGAAGGATGCAGAAGTCATGAGGGAGCAGAAAGGTTGAGTCAGGTGAAGAATAGAAGAAAGGGTATGTGATAGGTAGGGTTTTAGGTGGGGGGTTGGTAGGGGAGAAAGGGAGGGAGAAGGGAACTGGGATTGGCATGTAAATCAATCTTGTTTCTAATTCAAATAAAAAATGTTAAAAAAAATTAAAAAAAAGAAAAACAAAACAAAAAAGGAATACTACTCAGGAATAAAGAGGAAAGAGCTATTAAAATGTGCACAGATATAAATCTCAATAAACACCATCTATAAATGTATAATAATTGTGGTCACCTCTAAGGAATTATAAAGGCATATCCATTTGGAAGACCTAGTGTTCTGAAAATGAATGCAGTATATTATATGTAATGAGAACTTGGAAAAAAATAATAAAACATGATAAATTGCTAGGCAACACGACACAAAAATGTGATCTTTTCCTGTACATCACAGTAATAAGTAAAAATATCCCTGTTCTTTATTAAGTGTGCAGTTACTCCTGGACCCTTATCTCCCAAGGTCCTCTTTCACCATGCCCCTTCCCACACACACAAACACTCACAAATTGGGCATACATTTTTCCTGAAGTTAAAACTGTAGTGACAAATGTAATTGTCTGTAACTGTCCTTTCAGAAATAATGGGAAATTATGGTTCCTAGCAACAGAGAAATCTTTTCCACCATTTCTGATTCTCAAGGTCAGTGGCAGGACACTCAACAACAACAATCCACACTGAAATAACAATAAGAAATATGAAAACATACAGGTACTCAGAAGGAAATAAGTGGAAAAACCTCATCGACAGGAGCTCCATAAAAAAAAAAAAATGTCACTTAGCATTCGAACTAACATCTCATTAATTCCATCATGCTTTGTGGCTAAATGCACACCTAATGCAAGAAAACATATTATAATGAGTTTTAAATATATTCATTCTAGTGTAAATAATGTGAGCATATATAAACATCAGTTTCTTGATATTTCCGATGGTGGATTTTGTCTAGGACAATAGCAACAAGACTGCAGTGATTTTTTTTGAAAGCTCACCTTCATTACTTAGGATAAAAGTACCTAATTAGTCCGTTCCAATTTATAAAAATTGAAAGGCAAGCACCTGTCTGCAAGCACAAGAATGGCAGTTCAACAAATACGGCAAAATTGTACAATGTCTGTCCAAAGGAATTAATAGGCTTTCTGTGCCCCCACCCCCCCACCCCCGTCTGACAGTAGGTTTCTCCACTGACACAGTAAGCCAGATCAAGCCAAAATGAAAAAGTATAACAACAGGTTTATTTGAGCAGAGAAACTCCAAGGCAAATTCTCTAGTGCCAGAGATCAAGGCCTGAGAGCCACCCACCCGGACTAATGCAGGGAGATTATATAGGTTGTAGGCAAGGGGTGATGATGTGTCCACCAAAAGCTGGATTTATGGAAGTATGTATGGTCAAAAGCTGAGCACTTTAGGTGAGGACTTGAGTGCCTGGCAACTTTAGGGGAGGAGCTGCCACGGCCACCAAGAATGTGGAACTGGCTTTTTTGGTGCCTTCCCTTTGTTCAGAGACTCTCTGAGCAGGTAGGGTTTGGAGAGAGTGAGAGAGACAGGAATGGTGCTTCCCAGACCACGAAGGGGCAAGCAGGATGTTCCAACCGAACAGGTATTTATAATCCTTTAAAATGACTCACACATTGAATTCATACACCATTTCATTTCCAGTGTTTAGAAAAGATGCTTAAACTACTCTAATTTGATCAGAACCTTGTCCTTTGAAGAGAATTTCTTTGGGAGACATGAGTGACACTAACTGAACTAATAGAAACCCTGTTGACAACACTCCCCTAATTGGTGATATTTAAAAACAGATCATGTAAGAGTTCAGAGAGAGAGAGGTTCTTGTTACAGGTGCTGCTGCTACTGAATCAGGAAGATACACACACACAAGTTTGTTTTGTCTTTAGAAACTATTGTAGAGAAATGCTTCCTTAGAAAATGGAAATTAATTATTTTCAATATATAAAGAAAGCAAAAAGGGCTGGGTAGTGGTGGTGCCCTCCTTTAATCCCAGCACTTTGGGAGGCAGAGGCAGGTGATTTGCAGAGCTAGTTCCAGGACAGTCAGAGAAACCCTGTCTTAAAAAACCAAAAAGAAAGAGAGGGAAAAAAGGGACTTTTGAGTTTGGCAACTTGTGCATGGTTGTGAGTCACTCATGAGTAGCTGAAGCTGAGTATTCTTAAACCTTACTTTGGTCATGGAGCATGACTTCCCCTTTGGAAAACTCCTATGCCCTGATCTCCTAATCAAGCCCCATTTCTATCTACACCTCAGAAATTCCTCTGACCCAAAACTCCCTCTCTTCCTCCATACAGACTATTAACATGTGTTTTTACTTAAGTACTGTCTGACAACCTCAAGGAAGGACAAACTGGGAAAATTATTCCCCAAAATAAAAACAGCACGATGGCAATTGAGCGAAGGAAAGTGGGTAGCCTCCAAATCAAGTTTCATTTTGCTTTTTCCCTCCCTGGGTTCCTAACTGTACGAGGAACACTCAAATAATCTTGTATTCTACTTTTTTGTAACTTTCCTCAGTATGCCGCCCAGCATCATCTAGTCTCTCAAGTTTTTATGCTCCTTTAACTGACTTATGTAATCTTTTTCTTCCTGGCATCATTTGCATCCCAATTCACCATCTAGTATGCCTGCATTGCTCTATTGAATTCTCAGTGTATGTGATGGTTCAAATGAGAATGACCCCCATAGGCTCATATAGGTAAAGACTTGGTACCAGTTATTGATACTCCTTGGAAAGGATTAGGAGGTAAGGCCATTGTAAAAGGAGGTTGTTGCTGAGGATGGGCTTTAAGGTTTTAAAAGCCCAACCATTCCCATTTAGCTCTCTCTGCCTCATGGTAGTGTCTAAAGATGTAAGCTCTCAACACCTGCTCCTGTGCCATGCCTGCCTGTCTGCCTGATGCCATGGTCCCTACAATGATGGACATGACTTTAGCTCTCCTAAGCCATTAGCTCCACATTGAATTCTTTCTAATATGTTACCTTGCCCATGGTGTTTCAGTCACAGCTATAGAAAGCAAGGCAGTGTGATATGCCCTATGCTTTTTGTTAGCTGTTCTTTTAGAAAGGAGCATTTGTATTTACATAAAACACTAATGAGATTCTAATAGTAGAAAATAAGAAAAGTGTGTCATCCTGGAACATAAAGCAAGCAGCTGTAAAAGAAAATGAAGGAAACACTAATTCCTGAGCAACAGTGTCTGCAGAAGCAGCCATACTTGAACAGCTTTTTTTTTTTAACGTAACATATTGCACAACAATAAGGAAAAGCACACCACAATTTACTGCCTGCTACCTTTGAGGAAACAGACAAGTCACATTAGGTCTGCCAGCTCAGATGCTGGCACCCATTTATTTGTAATGCTAACCTTAAGGTTATATACCAAAACAATATCTTTGTTTTTCAGCATTTGCTCACTCCACCAGAAGTCACATTTCTTGCTCAATGCACAGGCCCAGTGATACCGGACAAGCATGTACAGCAGGCACACAGGCCTGCCACAGTTGATACCACCATCAAAAAGCGTGATTGGCGCTTATATTTAAGGGCTTTCTTCACTGTCTCATTTGATTGTTCAACATAGTCCTGGGTGTGCAAAATGTTGTACTCAATACTATCCAGCAACTCTTGCTGTCCTGAGATGAACATTTCTACTTGGAAAAAGATGGTGTGCAATTCACTGATCTGGTACTCAAGGTCCAGCAGCTGCTGATGACGTACTTCGGCCAGAGCCAGGCCCTGCTGCTTAGCTTTCAAAACATCTAGATCACAACCCACAATTTGAGGAGGCACAGGGTTCGCCACCAGTTTCTCCAGATCCTCTTCCTGGAGCTTCACCCCAGCTAGTTCTGCCTGTCTCACCATCTTCTCCTTCAGCCTGACCAGATTCTGAGTCTCACAGGCATAGTGGTGGCTGATGATGTCACGGTAGTAACTAAGGAGAAAAGAGAGCTGGCTCTGACGAATGCGGTGCTCAGCCCGCCAGTACTTACAGTCTGTGGCCAACTCATCCTGGATGGTGCTTAGCTGAGGCTGAATGAGCCGGGCTTGGCTGGCAAAGGAAGCTTTTATGGTATTCAATTCATTCTTCTCCTTGAACACACTCTCCTCTGTGGTACAACACAGGACACCTTGCTGCTTCTTGTCTATTAACTGAGACAGCCCTTCTAACTCAGCCAGTGCCAGGGACAGCTCAGCTACTTCCTGTAAAAACTTTTCTATGGGGTTTGTTTCACTCTTCTCAAAAGCATGGTTGTCAAACATCAAGGTGTCATCCAACTCTGAGGGGACTCTTCCATGGCTAATGTGGTTCTTCAGTTCCTCTAATCTGTCCTTCATCTTCAACTCCAGCTGCTTGCCATATCGGTACTGCAAGGACTCTGGAAAGAGATGTATCCATCGGCTTTGTCTGGTGGTGTATGAAGTCAGGGACAGCTCAGTTTTGCGTCAGTAGAAGCTATTAAAATCTTTCCTTCCCAGGCAAGCAAACAATGACAAGGCCAACAGGCCACTGAACTGTTTATTCAGTATCAAGAGTGTCAGGTGGTAAAGCACACAGGATGGACTAAATTGTATTCCAGGAACAGGCCAAGCATTTGCCTGATTTGTTAAGAGCTGAGGTAAGAATACACATGAACTCTGGGGCTCCAGGCTAGGTGGTAACAAAGTAGAAGGCTGGAGTTTGAACAGCCCCTGGAAGCATTGTTACTGGGTTCAAGGAAGGTAACCAAGTATGTACAGAACCCAAGTAAGGAAAGAATTGATAAATGCTCACAAATAACTGTAGATTCATTATTTAAGATTGAGAACTAACATACTCATCCACAGAAACACACAGACTAAATAGCTTTTTTAATCTAGTGATATCATCCAATTAAGAAAAAAGTGGCTGCAGGCAAAGTCTATGGCAAAAGTAAAAGTCTACTCACTAGTAAAGGAAAGAAGAAAGAATATAGCTTCTAGATTGAAGACTTGTTTCATTTAATAATAATCTTTTTCATCCTTTCTTAATGCAGACCAGAGACTGGAGTTCATTATCTGCAACTAAAACCTGCCTGTTATCATTCTATCAGGTGCCTACTAGGCCATCATGCATTAAACTCCTTCACATAATTGAATAAAGAAAATAATTGCATTCTTTATAGGATTTCTAAATATCATATATTAAATTTTAACTTTTCCTCACTCCCCTTTCTTCTCATTATCAAATCTTTGTTAAAATGTTTTTCTAGTAATACATAGGTAACCAAGAACCTGCAAGTAGAGAGTCTGGGGAACTAGGGTAGAACCAATTACTACTTCTACTAACAGATTTTAGCAATAAAATGACTCCTAATGACATTTTGCTATATGGATCAGTGCCTTGTCCAACCGTCATCAGAAAAGATTCCTCCTGCAGCAGATGAGAACAAATACAGAGACCCATATCCAGACACTATGCAGAGAGTGAGAGACCTTGAAACACTGCTCTGATAGGATGTCTCCATCAAATCCTTCCCTTAGGAGTTAGGGAATCATCCAGAAGATGAGGCAGAAACAAGGTCGTTGAAACATAACAGGACTGATGATACACACACGGATTCACAGAGAGATGGAGGCATCATGCACAAGGCCTACATAGGTCTGTACCACATAGGGTCCTAGAACTAAAAGGAGACATGGTCTGAAGCATTTAACTAACTAACTAACTAACTAACTAACTAACTACCTAACTAACTAACTAATAAAAAATCAAGAGTCAGATATTGGGGTAAGAACCTGAATGATCAGAGAAGCTTCGGAGAAGCCACCAGTCATCTCCTACCTCTTCTGTTCCTTCCTCCAAAAAAGCTGAGATCCTCTTTCAGTTCCGCCTTACTACTTCCTGTCTCCTATCTGTCTACAGTCTTCCAAACCTCTATGGTTAATTTTGGTCAGCTAGTGACTAAAAGCTTTATTTTTAGAATGAAATGAAAATATCACACAACAGTGATCATATGGCCCCATCCCTAATCTAGAAGTTATCTTCAGTTCATAACCACTTGTAAATGAAAAATTGGTTTTCTCCAATGGAGTCTCATCGGGAAAACAAGCTACTCTTAAGGGCAGGCCCCATATCCAGCAGTAGATGGCCAACAGAAAATGAACTCTCCAGCATATTTGGACATTAGTTGTCTCATAATGTCATGTCAGGGCTTTTATTCTTTATCTTTTTAAAAATTTTAATTTTAATTTATTTTATTTATACATATTTTTTAAATTTATCTTATTTTTATTTTTATTTTATATAAAGATATATAATATATGGAGAGAAATATATACATATACTTCTCTTTTTACCCTATAAGTCCTTTGTGTATAGATATAGACATACAGATACACAGACTTGCAGTTTTGGGATTCCTAAGTGTGTGAACAAGTTGTTCTCTGCATCAATATCTGTTTCTTGTGCTTTTTTTGAGCTCTTCTGGGTTTTTTGTTTGTTTGTTTTACTATTCTTGTGTGTTATATTTTGTTTTTTGTCTTATTATATTTTAGTATTATCCCTTCAAAACCTGTTTGTTTTCTAATGAGTGGAGCCATATAGAAGGGGCAGTGGAGAGGGCAGGAAGTGGAAGGAGTAAAGGGAGGAGAACTGTAATCAAGATAAGTGAAAAAAATCTATTTTCAACAAAAGTGAAAATTTTTAAAACAAAAAAAATATTTTCTGATTAGTTAACAATCTATAGTTTCCCATTATTTTCTTTTTCTAAAATCTAAGACAAGTTACTAGATTCATTTAACTTTTACCCAGATTTCTGTTTGACAAGATCAAACAAACATAAGCATCAAATCTCTGTTAGAGATTTATTTTTGTGTGTATGTGTAGATATGAACTTGTGTTTGTGGAGGACATAAGAGGCAGTCAGATCCTCTGGAGCTGGAGTGCCAAGTGTTTCTGCACTACCAGACAAACACAGGTGCTGGCACCTGAATTCCTGTCCTCTTCAGAGCAACAAGCATTCTTACAAGCTGAGCCATCTCTCCAGACCCTCAAAATAGCGTTCACACTCATAAGTTTCCTGTTTTCTGTCTGCTAATTTCCACCACGCTCTCTCTACTCCCTCCCTGTCCTTTCATTTACATAACCATGTCATCTCCCTCTCCCCAGCTTCTGGAAGCATAAAACCCTACATTACATTCACGTTACTGTCCCTGTCACAACCTAAGTGCCCTGATTTCTATCAACAGAAACCAAGATTTCCTAGTGCACTGATCTTAACAAGAAGTAAAATCCCCAGCAAAAGCCAAGTATGCCAATGTACTCCTGGTTTTTCTGTCCAGTCTTTCATTATGGTTTTGTTGTTGTTTATTTGTTTTAACAAATAGCTTGGAGAGAATACTGTAGAATTTAAGAACTAGCAAGAGGCCAATGAAAGCTACTTTTCCTGAAGGAAAGGCTCTTTACTAGCTCTCAGATTCTTCGTAGACCTGTATTGCCTAAACTGGCACAGTGCCACCTAATCAGTAATAAGGAGACCTAGCTTTGGGGTGAGGAGAAAAAGAAACTGAAAAAAAAATGAGGCTTTTGTGGCCCACATGCAATCCTTTAACCATGGCTCTCAGCATATTTTCCCTATTCCTTAATATTTACTCTGCCTAGCGGCTCTGCCTCACATCTCAGAATTTTGCTGGAACCTGAGAATCACTTGAGACTTGTTGAAAAAAAAATCATGTTATATTAAATTCTTATCAATGCTCTTCTTAGGGTTTTTGTTACCACTCCCCAGTGTCCCATTCTATTGCTATGAATATGTAAAGTTCTCTAAAATGAAACCACCATATCACATGGTTTCTGCATTAGATCATTACATAAAATCTGGCATTGCTAAAATCGAACTTAATTGTGTGGTACCAAATACTGAATCTGAGTTTTCTACGGCAATGTTGATTCAGTGCTTCTACACATGGGTAATACCATAGTGTGTGAAATACCAGAGTTCTGACTAAAACTTCTTTAGATAAAGAATCACAGAGGAGACAAACCTCCTGATGTGTTTAGGAGAGAGCTTCTGAAGAGGTTTAATTGAGCAGAGAAGACCCAATCTTTGAATAGGAACATCCCATGGGCTAGAGTTCCTGACTGAAGGAGAAGAAGGAGGCCAGTTGAACACCTGCATTCATCTCTCTGTGCTTCTTGGCTGTGAACACAATGTGACCAGATGCCCCCATGCTCTCACCAGCAGGCCTTTTGTGTCATAATAGTCTCTACTAAAATAAACCTTTCTTTTATACAGTTACTTTCGTCAAACAACAAAAAAATATAGCTAATGCATTTACCCTATATTAACACGTTCTACCTCTCTGCTCCCAGGTCACTGACTCTGACCTGGGATATACTGTAATAGTAAAAGCGTTTTGCTCTACTCAATTCCACCAGTTCCAGCTCAGAGAATGGGAGAAATGCTTTTGGGAGGGCAAAGAGTGGGAAATGAGATCCCTTTCAATCTCAGTGAGGCTTTTAGGATTTTTGTTGCTGTTGACTTAGAGACAGCATTACCAGAAACGTTCCTCTTTAGAACACCATTTCTCCAGCCCTTTGACATGAGATTGAAGCTTATTTTGCCTAAGTTTGTTATTATTTATAAGTTGCATGTTTCTCCTATGCCTCATTCAGTATGTACATGAGAGGCAAAATCAAAACCCAGGGATCTTACCATTACAGTATTTCAAAAGTTCAAAGTCTCTACCTTTAACTGAAGTTCTATAGTTTATGTGTGTTTTGGTCTTGGTGATTTATGTGAAGGCAGAGACCTGGGGCTACTTACTCACAGAACTGGAAATTTCTTGGGCATAGTTTTGAAAAATAAATATATGTAATTAATTTGAGTGAAAGAAAATGTTTTCCAAGGAGCAAAAGTATTTTGGAGCTGCATAATGAATTCAAATTATCTAATAAAGTCTTTCCACTGCAAATCTCTTCTTTATTTAGGTACTCTTTTCATCTTTAGCTAAATCATCTTCTTTTATTGCATTTTGACCCTGAATGTTATGCAAATGTTACCCAAGCCCTGATTTATTTTTTCAAATTTGTGTTTTTTTTTTCCTGGTTCCTCTGTTAAATTCATCTCTTTTAAACGATGTATATTAGCACATTTGGGCTGCTATAAAACACTACAAAAAGCAAGTTGTCTCATAAACAATGTAATTTGTTTCTTGCAATTCCAAAGACTAGAAAGTCTAAGACTAAGCTGTAGACAGAGTCTGAATCTTTTGGGGATGTTTCCTGGCTCGTGGATGGCCCTGTTTATTGCTGTGACCTGACTTTACAGATGAGAAGGAAGTCTCTTGGGTCTCTTTTTGTTTGGAGTCTATTTTGT